TACTTATGTAAATCAGCTCTATTTCGCATGCCCTTTTGGAACGGTGCTAAGCGCGACGGAGCTCTACTTACATACATAAACACACTTTATTCAAAATCACATTCACTCACGTATCAAGAAAATGCAACTTTCAATTGCAGCTGAATTCGTTCCAGAAAATGGGCTACCCCGACGTCTGCGTACTGCCTATACCAACACACAGTTATTGGAACTCGAAAAAGAGTTTCACTTCAATAAGTATTTGTGTAGACCCCGACGAATCGAAATTGCAGCGAGTTTAGATCTGACCGAGCGACAGGTGAGCCTTTTTGAAGTAATTTTACATATCCCCTCATTTACAGCCAAACCTAAATAAAAGCGTCAGCGTTGTCTAGCCGTCTCATGTCAATGTAATTTGTATGAAATAAAGAGAACGCTTAGCGGTTGGAAAATCCGGTTTTGACAGAGCGGTATGAAGTGAAGTTGGCTGCAGAAAAGCGAAACTTTCATTTCTTTATTAAACAATAAAATCTACAAATTAAAAGAAAATTAAACTAAAATAAATATAAAAAAAAACTTTTTAATATACAACGCTTTTATAAATGGACTAAAAAGTAGAAAATAATACTTCTCAGTCCCATAGAATTTGTTTTGATAACTTTTGATTTTGAAATTTTAGCAAAAGTCATTATAAACAATCTATGAAATTGAAAATGAAAAACGTGGAGCGCATGCAATACAAAGCATTCGATTTAATTGACAATAGTCAAACTACATAACGTAGACCTAAAATTTCTACAGCGAAAGTAGAACTTTGAAATCGATTTTAAGCGGTCGTTATTCATATACCCACATACATACATTCATATATTACTTTTCATATCAATTCAAGTGTATTACATGCGCCCCACGCTTTTCATTTTCAATTTCATAGATTGTTTATAATGACTTTTGCTAAAATTTCAAAATCAAAAGTTATCAAAACAAATTCTATGGGACTGAGAAATATTATTTTCTACTTTTTAGTCCATTTATAAAAGCGTTGTATATTAAAAAGTTTTTTTTTATATTATTTATTTTCTACTTTTTAGTCCTGTCTGAATAAAATTTTGCAATAGATATTAAAATAATTCAACGATATTAATTGAAAGGTGCACACACATGCATTTACATATGTATGTACATACAAACGAGCACCAATTAATTTTATTTAAAGAAATGGCGTGTCGTCTATTTCCGCTGTAGCAAACGTAGTACATAGGGCGACATCTAGATGTCATCTACCTCGCCCTATTCACTACAGCTGTCGCCCTATGCACTATGCTTTTTTATATGAACTTTTCAAAGCTTTGCTTTGGTGTCGGACACACAACATTGAAATTTTCTGGATCTAAGTTGATGCAAGTTGATAAAAGTGTTGTAAAATGGAGCCCCGGTTTCGGTAGGACTCAAAGTAGAGCCCGCACTATAACGCCGGCGACTCAACGAGCGGTCAAGGCGGTTAAAAACCGCTGGGTGCAGAACACACCCCAGGCAGCCCCTGGAAAGGTCACCCAAAAACAATCCCGCCGGTCAGAACAGTGTCCCCGTATCGGGATATGGATCGACCGATGTAGTACCTACACCAACACACTCGCGAGCCAAAACAACCGCCGATATGCGTGTATAAACCCTCCTCAAAGTCTAGCCAAAAAGCCAGCAACTCACACAACAGGTTCCCCAGAGCAATTCGCACGAGAAAGTGGTACCCGGTACACGTAATACGCGGCACACAGCACAACAATCCGCCAAAACAGGCAACCCGGCCCAAAATTACCACCGTAGAAGGCAGAAACCCCGAACGGCAGTGCAGAAGCCCAAGAATTACCCTTAAAACGGCCACAGGAGCTTAAAAAGACCAACTGGTCCCCAACTGGTTTGAAGGTAAGCAGTTTCGGACTAGCCCCAACTGGTTCCCGGGCTGGTCCCCGACTGGTTACCAACTGGTACCACGAACTAGTTACGAACTGGTCCCAAAGTGGTTACCAACTGGTCCACCTATACCTCAAGTGGTCCACAAGTCACTTCACTTACAAAGCATTCGATTTAGTTGACAATAGTCACATGCATTTACATATGTATGTACATACAAACGAGCACCAATTAATTTTATTTAAAGAAATGGCGTGTCGTCTATTTCCGGTGTAGCAAACGTAGTACATAGGGCGACATCTAGATGTCATCTACCTCGCCCTATTCACTATGCTTTTTTATAGGAGCTTTTCAAAGCTTTGCTTTGGTGTCGGACACACAACATTGAAAGTTTCTGGATCCACAACATTGAAAGTTTCTGGAACACAACATTGCAAGTTGATAAAAGCGTTGTAAAAAGGACAAAAATATATCAAAATTAATAAATAAAATAATTTCCTATTAACTTCAACTTTAACTTTATTTTATTATTTCGCTAATACAAAAGAAAAATAATTTTTTATGAAGTATTAGGTTCGATTAAGCAAACGAATTATAGCTGATAAATTGAATAAAAACGATTTATATAAAAGGAATACTTAAGACTAAACAATAATATTAATCGCGTAGCATTATAGATCACGAAATTGAAGTTCGAAAACAAACGGATAATAATTGTTAAAAATGTGGAATAGGGTATAATAGTTATAGAAAGTAAATTGAAATTTAAATTGATACAGTTCGTTAAAAAGTGCTTAGATTAATACAATTACAGTTTAAACGACTAATTTAAAGCCAATCTGCATTATGTTTGGAAGTGCTTGAACAGGGTAGCCTTGAACCATGGTGTCATACAAAAGAGGTAGATTGAAAATATTTTGAATAGGGTTGCCACCTATTTGAGAAGTCTAATTGAACTATTTTTTATATGAAATTTTAGTTCGAAAATAATTTTTAATAGGGTTGCCGCCTGTTTTGAAAGTGATATTTCGTTTAATTATACATAAGTTACATGAAATTTTAAAATATGGTTATCAAAAGAACGAGTGTTAAGAAATCTTTAAGCTGAACATTTGGTTTTGTTTTTGTTGAAAAAATTAAGCTCAAATGATTTAATAAGTTAAATGGATTATCAAAAGATTTGTATCAATCGAAATGGGTTTGAAAATAATTTATTTCTAAACTGCATTTAGGAGAGTTGCCATGTGCTTAAAAAATTAAATTCAACTTAATTCATCAGTTAATTGAAATATCTATAACAATGCCAGGCGAAAGATTTTAGTTTGAAAATACTTTTAAAGGGGTTGCCACCTGTTTGAAAAGTCGATTTGTTTTACTTATACGAAAGATATACACACAAATGAAACATCGAAATATTAATGTCAAACGAAAGAGTTTTAAGAAAACTATTGTAGGCTGATAATATTTTTAATAAGAGTTGCCATTTATTTTTTTTTTGAATTTCGTCACATCTGCACCGTTATTTCGAATTTCCAAAATGAGAATTCAAATTAAAGAAATGGATTCTATATAGATGTGCACAGGTTTTATTTTTTGAAGATACAGGGAGATTTGAACTTTGATGAAATGAAAACCGACACCATGCGAGACCTCTCATCACTGAGAAATGGTTTAGATTAACCATTAGGAATATTTTTAGAGGTTTTTGAATAGGGTTTCACCTGTTTAAAAAATTTACATTCAGCAACGAAATACAGGTATTGGCATCAGTAATATCACAGTTTGCATAAATTTAGAGGTCATCAGCGTACATATCGCAACCAAGCTTGTCTTCTTTTCCAACATAATTTAGTCGAGACTTGCATTGCCAAACTAGTTTGGAAGTACTTAGATAGAGGGCTGACCAATGCCTTAAGTGCAGCTTGGCTGTACCTGTAGACACGTAAACTCCTTCCTCTCCACCTATTTTCCAGCACGTAGTCTATGGCTTTGAGGATTGCAAATACCTCAGCCTGGAAGACCGAAGCATATTCCCCAAGAGAAAAGTGAAGCTTATCCTGATTAACTTCGAAAAACACCCCAGTTCCTCACCCTGAGTCAGTTTTGGAGCCATCAGTGAAGATTCGACAATGTACGAGTGCGGCCTCAGTTTTGGAATTAAACCAGCATTCCCCTCAAGGAACTCTCTCTCTCTAGAATCTCTTCAACAAAGGTAATGGTGGCCAGCGTTGCCGCTTTGGTAATTTTTAACCAAAATTTTTAATTTTTTATTCTTTATGCCTACATGTCAAATAGGCCAATATAGGTTCCGATTCGGCATTTCGCAAGACGAAAGTTGTTCCAGCGTTCCTTGGTTATTATTTAGAATTGTGTGATCTTTAACAAACTTGAAAGTGGCTATTATTAAGTATATTCACCGTGTCCTTCTCTGAAAGTTTTTGGGTGGTCCTACCTTCCCCTGTCAGTTCGTCAGCTTTGCACTTATCATCAATTTTTCGGTGAACCCGGCAACCATACATCTGAGTAGAATTCTACGTAAATACAGACATATATATGTTCTCGTTCAAAAAGTAACGGCATTCAGCGAGAGACTTCACTCTGTCTATAGCTCTGTTCGCGTACGCACTATCCAGTAAATCCAGTACTAATTTTACTGGTTTTTTACTGGATGTCGTTTTCGTACGCAAAAACTTTTAAGAAACTAGCAAAAGAGGGGAAATTGAGAGAGCAAAAATGACAGCTGAACTTGCAAGTTTTACTGGATTTTTACTGGATAAATTTTTACTAGCATAGGGCTGCCAGATATATCTGTTGCCAAACCGGGACACTTAAAGCGGGGAGAGGCCTCTCGCTTCCTTCCCTTTCGTTTCGACAAAAATTACCTACGAAAGGATGTAGTAAAATTTTATTTTGACAAACAAAAACAAAAACATAAAAACATGCGATCATAACATGATTACAACGTACACTAGCAAAACAAAACAATTTATCACAACTAAAGCACGGAGAATTTTTTACAATGCATGTACCTTTTTTGTTCCTTATAAAAATACAGTTTATACTAAATACATCAGAAAACATAAAAATAAAATTTCCATACTGCAATATGTAACATTGTATCTAATGGTTGTGTTTTTTATGTTTCTTTTCCAAATAAATATAAACAGACTCCCTGAAGAAGGCGAAAAACAACGCCGAAACGCGTAGGAGGAAAAAAGGAAACTTGTTTTTGCTTTTTTAAACTACCTGCCGGAAAAGCTCCTAAAATAACAAAAAGATAATTTGAAAACTGGCCCGAAAAATAAATAAAATTTCTAAACTTTGTGCAAAACTCGGGAAAATGCATTAAATTTGCATACGAATTCGCAACTTTCTATTCAGACTTTTTTATAAAAATTTTGAAAATGAAGTTTTGCAGCCCATAAAAATTTAGTTGATTGTTTTTACTGAGAGTTTCTTCCATACAAACTATGTTCGACATTTTTTTGTATGTGGAAGACACTGTCAGCAAAAAATAAATAATTGCAAAAAATCAACGAAATTTTCTGGTAACTTCAGAATTGCACTTTACTAATTGGCTCAAAAGCTACATTTTCAAAATTTGAGATCAGATGACAGTGTCTCCGAGTCAATAATTTTGTATGGCACGGTACTTATAAGTAATCAAAGAAAAAAAATTAAATACAAGTTAACATTATAATATCAGTCATTTGTTTCGTTGCTGTGAGTTTGTTTTAAAACTTCTGGCTTTTACTTAATATAATTGTAAAACTCTGTGCATGTCATTTTAACGTATTTAGGTACATATATAGATACGAAGACTTCACCCAATGAATAGTTAAGAATGCGCGTTTACTAACACTTATATATTTATTCAATTACTTCTGTGACTCTGAACAATAAAGAAAACTTAGAAAATAATATCGTTGTCTGCTACACGTGTGGCGTCAGTAAAAAGGCTTCGGTAAAAGTATTTGCTTTCGTGGCCGGCGTTGGTTTACCGAAGTGTTAGACGATTGCTCGTCGCGCCGCTGTCCGGATGGATCATGCAACATTTGAGGCGGGGTTGCCACATCCACTCTCCCTCCGATGACCTTCGAATAGTTCGAAGGGAAGGAAACTGTCTTTTGCTTGCTGGAATCCGTACAAGTTGGCTGGTCTATGACTGAATCTGACGACTGAGGCTGATGGAACTCAGGATCCTCATACTGCTGTGGCTGCTGCTGGTTTTCAGAGCTCTTGAGCGGCTGAGACCGCTGTTGACTATCAGAATCCTCTCTAGCAATGTATGCCGGTTTTAACCTCTCCACGGATACAACTTTCTCGATGCCGTCCACCCGGATCTTGAAAACGTTGTCATTTAGGCGCTCTAGGACTTCATGTGGTCCAGAGTATGGCGGTTCAAGAGGGCGTTTGACTGCATCTATGCGAAGAAAAACATGCGAGCATGAATACAAGTTTTTTAGGATGAACATTCGTGGTTTTGTGTGATGCGCAGTTGGAGTTGGCCTCAATGTTCTGATATGCTCTCGAAATTTTTCCAAAAATTTTTTCGGGTCAGCTGGCAAATCCTCTGACACGAAAAACTCTCCTGGGACGCGTAAACCTGTGCCAAAAACTAGATCAGCGGGTGAGGCGTTCAAGTCTTCCTTGTAGCAAGTGCGGAGGCCAAGGAGCACCGGGGGTAGGGCTTCTGGCCAGGAAACCTTACTCTTGCACATCAGAGCCGATTTCAGGGTCCTGTGCCACCTCTCAACCAGTCCATTGGATTGCGGATGGTAGGGAGTCGTCCTAATGCGATTTGCTCCAATCAACCGTGTCAAGGCGGTGAAGAGGGCTGACTCGAACTGAGCGCCTTGGTCAGTGGTGATGGTGAGTGGTGTACCAAACTGAGCAATCCAGTTTGAGTAAAACGCGTTGCAAACAGAGTCGGCTGTTATGTTTTCCCGGGGAACAGCCACGGGCCACCTGGAAAACCGGTCAATAATTGTAAGGCAGTACCTAAGCTTGTTTACCACTGGAAGTTCGATGAGATCCAGGTGTACATGGTTGAACCTGGTATCTGGTATGTCAATGTGTTTGGGAATGAGGCGGTTGTGCCGTTGGATTTTGGACCGTTGACATGCGATGCAATTTCGAGTCCATTCCAGTGCATCCTTCTTGATGCCAGGCCAAATGTATTTTTGCTTAAGCATTCGGGCTGTGGTTCGCCCACTGGGATGAGACAGCCCATGTACCGAGTCGAACGCTGCTCGCCTGATGCTATTGGGAATGAAGGGTCTCACCACTCCGCTCGATATGTCGCATAAAATCGTATGCTTGCCATCAATGCAAAGCTTTTGGAGTTTTAAAGAGGAGTTGTTATTCTCTTGAAGTTTCCGAAGCTCATCATCACCCTGCTGCTCCTCTTCAATCCTCTCTGCACTCAAGATGGTGGGCATGCTAATAGAAGAAATCCTAGAGAGTGCGTCAGCTACGATATTGTCCTCACCTTTTAAGTAGACGATCTCGGTGGTGAACTGCGAAATGTAATCGAGCTGTGTGAGTTGGCGCGGGAGGCTTTGCTAGCCTTCTGAGAGAACGCATAAACAAGAGGTTTGTGGTCTGTTCTAATGATGAAATGACGGCCCACCAGGATGTGGCGGAAAAATTGTATAGCTGCGAAAATAGCCAGCAGTTCTCTATCATACGTACTGTACCTGGCTTCTGTAGGACTGAGTTTCCTAGAGAAGAAACCCACTGGCTTCCACCTGTCGTCCTCGTATTGCTCCAGTGATGCGCCTATGGCGAAGTCAGAAGCGTCTGTAATAAGAGAAAGTGGAGCTGTTGGTGCCAGGAAAGCTGTTCGTGCTGCTAAAGCGACACTGTGCTTGCAGTCCTCTAGGGCCTTTTCGGCGTCCGGGGTCCAAGGAATTTTTCGCTTATCGTTCTTTTTTGCATCCTTGAGAAAAGCGTTGAGAGGGGCCTGAAGTTCCGCGGCATTAGGCACGCACTTCCGGTAGTAATTAATTATTCCTAGGAACCTGCGAAGGTCAATGATGGTTTCCGGCTTGGGAAACAAACGGATCGCCTCGACACGGTCATCTGGGGGTTTGAAACCATCTTTGTTAATCGTATAGCCCAGATAGAGCACCTCCTCCTGGCCAAAACGACACTTACTGGGGTTGATTTTGAGCTGGTTTTGTCGTAGAATGTTGAAGATTTGTTGTAAGTCCCGTATATGTTGCTTATGTGTATGGGACGCTACTATGAGGTCATCAATAAAACAGCCGACAAAATCCAGCCCTCTGAAAATGTTGTCCATATGCCTCTGGAAAGTTTGGGTGGCATTTCGCAGTCCGGGAGGCATCCCCAGGAACTCATAAAGACCAAAAGGTGTGGTGACCGCAGGCTTCGCGATGTCCCCTGGAGCTACAGGTATCTGGTGGTAGGAATGCACAAGGTCGATGGTGGAAAAAATCTTTCTCCCATGTAGGCGCTGAAACAAGTCTTCAGGTACCGGAACGGGGTAGCGATCAGGGACCGTTTGTGCATTGAGACGTCTGAAATCTCCGGTAGTGCGCCAACCCCCTAGCTTCTTGGATACCATATGAATTGGGCTGGCCCAATTGCTGCTAGACGGCCGAATGACGCCAAGCTCCAACAGCAGGTTGAAGTCGTCCTTGGCTGCCCTGAGCTTGTCACCAGCCAGTCTGCGTACTCGTTCTACAACTGGTGGTCCCGTGGTAATAATGTGATGAGCGACACTAGTGTCTGGATTGGCTGCAGTAGCCACCGACGGCCTGGTGATGTCAATGAAACTGCTGAGCAGCTCCGCGTACATGCCTCCGGGGCACGAGTTGGAGAGAGCTCGTTGATCCACCGTTGAAATGTTATATTCAATGGTTTCCGCCAGTTGTCCAAGAGTTGACAGGGAGGTGAGAGGATCTATAAGGCGATGCTTGCGAAGGTCGATGAGCAACCCGAAGTGCACGATGAAGTCAGCCCCTATGATAGCAGACTGAACGTCAGCTATGGTGAACGGCCAAGTAAAAGCACGGCGTAGACCAAGATTGAGGGTCATGAGCTGATGACCATAAGTGTTGATGGTGGTAGAATTTGCTGCATAAAGTTTAAACGTTGATGATTCCAGTCTCTGCTTAACCCAGGCTCGTGGCAAAACAGAAACCATAGAGCCAGAGTCAATAAGAAACCTGCGATGCGATGATTTATCGAAAACATGCAGGCGATACTCTTTGATTGGTTTGGTATTGAGGCTGCTGTCGCCAATCACCTGCACTGACGACAGCCCAGCTAGTTTCCCTGTATGCCCGCCTTGGGGTGAGTACAGGGCAGTAGGCACCGTTTGGCTTTATCACCAAACTTGCTGTGATAGAAGCAGTAGCCTGATGGAGCTGGAGTTCGGGAACGGGATCGTGGTCTCCTCTCTGTGGCCTTGCTAAGCTTGCTAGACAGCTCTGCAAATGCAGCTGAGAGTGTCTCAATGGATTTCTCTAGGCTGCACAACCTCTGCTCAATGGGGCTAGTTTTATCTTGCCGAGAGTAACCTCCAGTCTGAATAGCACTAGTTGCCATGATTTGAACATCGGCTGACTGAGGCTGAACACTGGTCGACATGATGTGAGGGCTGGTGTGATTTTCCATGGCGCTGTCTGCGGCTTCAGCGAGCTGGTCTAAGGTGCTGTTGCTCTGAACAGCCTTCAGAATCTTACAAACAATATCTGGAAGCAGTGCCAGCCATTTGCTGCGAAGTAACTCTTCAGAAGCCCTATTTCCGGCGAGCGACCTCATTTCCCTTAGAAGTTGACTAGGTTTCTGATTCCCAAGCTGTAGCTCCGTCAGAAGTTTGTATAATTGCCGATCAACTGAATCCGTAAAACGTTTGATAAGGTTTGTCTTCAAAAAAATATACTTATCTTGTGCGGGCGGTGCCCTCAGGATGTCAGAAACCTCTTTGAGCACCTCTGGCTTCAGAGCTGCGATAACTGCGTCATACCTAGAGTTGTCACTTCTGATATTGCGAGTGGAAAACTGTGCTTCAATTTGAATGAACCAAATTTCAGGATCGTTTGCCCAGAATTCCGGCAGCTTGAGTTGAGTCATTGCCATCATGTGTGCCTCGTTGCTGGACAGAGGGCTGTAAAACGGTTGCCCCAGCGGAAGATAATTGTTCAAGTTGCCTGGTGGCTGTTGCAGCTGTGCTTGTTGCTGCAGTAGCTGCGCTTGTTGATGCTGCAGTGCTTCTTGCTGAAGCAGCTGCGCTTGTTGTTGCTGCAGGGCTTGCTGCTGTTGCAGCAAGGCGTCTGGTGATTGCTGGGCTGGACTCTGAGTGGCACGATTCGGTGAGTGCTCAAGAGTCATTTTCGTGAAAATTTGTACGTTATGGCACGTGGGTCAAAGGAGTGAGAATCTCGTACCAACGCAATCCGAAAAGATCACGTCGGGATCACCATTTATAGATACGAAGACTTCACCCAATGAATAGTTAGGAATGCGCGTTTACTAACACTTATATATTTATTCAATTACTTCTGTGACTCTGAACAATAAAGAAAACTTAGAAAATAATATCGTTGTCTGCTACACGTGTGGCGTCAGTAAAAAGGCTTCGGTAAAAGTATTTGCTTTCGTGGCCGGCGTTGGTTTACCGAAGTGTTAGACGATTGCTCGTCGCGCCGCTGTCCGGATGGATCATGCAACATTTGAGGCGGGGTTGCCACACATACTTATATTAATCATCAACTATTGCTTGTGCAAAACGTGCTAAATTAAAAAAAAAAATCGCATATGAAAGAGCACCAACCCAACTCGTAATAAATTTAAGTATAAAAATTTTAGTATTTAGTATAGAAATATTCAATTCAAATACGCCAATATTAAAATGAAGCGCTTTGCACTTAACGGATGCCTTTTCATAATTAAGTTAAAAAAAATATAAATTTAAATTCCATGCTGCCTGTAATGGGATATGAACCCTGACGCTCTGGCAATTAGCAATTTGTGGCAAGCATCTTCGTGCACTCCAGACATGTGCTACAGCCAGACATGTAAATGTGCATTCAAATGTTCAGTTTGATTCAACACCACGTGTGCGTGGTATGAAAGTTTTTAAATACGAAAATTGTAAAACGATAATCAAATAAAAAATTTTTAAGTGTACTATGCGATATTTCCCCCAGTAAATTCATAAAATTTTTCTTAATATTACAACGCGTTTTTTCTCTCAGTGTAGTCATTTTTATTCAAAATTTGTGCAATCAAATAGAAAACCGGGACACTTAAACGAAACCCGGGACATTTTAAGGTTGGACCGGGACACCGGAACAAATAGTCTAAAACCGGGACATGTCCGGGAAAACCGGGACGTCTGGCAGCCCTATACTAGCAACTATTTGCTAGTAAGAAAAACAGCTGATGGCATGATGCTTAATGTAATTCACATTAACAAAATAATTGTTTGTGGTGCTTTTAGAGTTGCAATTGACAAAATAAACCCATTTAAATAAATAATAAGATGGAAAATACTAGTTTTCTAAGAAAATTGCATCGGAAAATAACAAATAAATCAGCTGTTCATAAAACTAGCAACTTCTTGCTGGTTTTGCGTTTTCGTACTTTCTTGCATATTTCACTCACTGGGAGTAAATATTGACTTACTCTCCGAAATTTGGCTACTGGCTAGTTACTGGATATTTTTTGCTGGATAATACGAAAACACAGCTTATGTGTGAGTCGAAATCTTTCCTTCAAGTGTTGAATTTTTGATATATTTTCTTGTCACTTGTTTACAGTGGTCGAAAAAATTATAGCCGCACCATATTTTGACAAGTTTTAACATATTTTTTTTTTTTGTAATTTAATTTTGGTTATTTTTTATAAAAATATTTTTCTTTCTTTGACAGAACTCGTGTAAATTCAAATTTCAAACTTTGTTCAATATTTAAAAAAATTCAACAAGCTTTCGTAAAAATTTTAGGTGAATGAAGCGCTGACATATCGAGCCCTAACTGCCAAAATAACGTAAGCGACATTTTTTTCAAAATATGTATGCTCGATATGTATGTTTGAACGGTTCTGCACGTAAAGTAAGGTTGGTAATTTTTTGTTGAATTCGGTAACTTTTTCCGGTGCTTTTGGAAAAAAAATAAAAAAATTTTGTGGCAGCACTGATGGTGGCGTACTATCCTGTAGCATTGAATAGGCACAAGAGCTTAAGCTTGAAACACATTGGAAATGACGGGCTGGGCTACGGGCCCAGAATGGAGCCTTGTGGAACGCCAGGCTTAAGGGCAAAAAGTCTGAAAGGCCGTTGTTTGCGAATACAGCTTGACAGCGTCCAGCTTGGTAAGAGCTTAATAATTTTACAGAGTGGTACGAGAAATTGAAATTATTGAGAAGTTTTCTACATAATATTTTGTGAATTAAGGAGTCAAAAGCTTTAAAATGATCTAAGAGAATCAAAAACTCAAATTTTCCTGAATCAAGGTCAGCGCGTAGATATATCGTCAACCATATCGGTTAAAGCGGTAATGCATCCACGATTCTTTTTAAATCTAGACTGTTTATATGATAACAGATTTTTTTTTTTTGTTAAGAAGTCATCTATTCGTTTATAAAGAATGTTTTGAAAAACTTTAGATAAAAAGATAGGAGAGCAATGAATATATATTCATTATGATTCTTTGCTATTGGGATAATTTTTGTCTTATTTCAGTTGGGTGGATATGCGGAAGTTGTGAGTATCGTATTGAAGACATGTGTGAAAAATGGAAGCATAACAGGGAGCAAAGATTTTATAAATGTAGGATGAAGTTTATCTAGACCGACGGCACTGGACTTTATTAACAAAAACGATTCCAAAACATCTAACTGACTTACACATACAAACTTAAAAGGAGTTACATTCAGTTGGTCAAACATTAAGGTTTTTCAAGCATTACTAAGGAGCGAAATACCCCACACAAGCGGCTTGTCAAACATACTTCAACCCTTCTTTTCCCATTTCGACATACACCATGCAAACATGACAAAGAATCTTAGTTTTCTTCCAGTTCACAATGCTAAATATTATGGTTTTCTTTCATTTTCCTCTCTTACGTCCTTACTCCGGGAAATTTTTGTTGCAAATGAGGCGAATTTATATTTCATAACGCAGGCGGTTTGACCAAACGTGAACATGGCGACCAGAAAATCAAAAAATTTTGATTTTTGTTCAAATTTCCCTCAAACGGCTTGTCAAACCTTCAAACACCCCCATACACAACACAAATGACTTGAAGCAAAGTGATATTTCTCTTGGTTTGTCAAGCCGCTTGTGTTGTGTATTTTGCTCTTAACAAAGAAAATATCTAAAAGCGTATTGCTTGTTGCAGGATAATGTGTAGGCAATACCGATAAAATACTAGATTGCGCTGGTTGATGTGAAATTCGGAAGAGTAACGGGAATGTGACGTCATAGCGGATTTGCCGGTGGAGAGAGCTGAGAGTGATCTGTCATTATGTATATTGTTTTGTATATGTATATGTATATTACACAGGCAATAAACACAATCTGCTATGACGTCATACTTCTGTAAAAATTTTCAAGAGAGAGTTAGCGATATCACAATCAGCGCCACCTTCTGTATTCGTTTCACCATAATGTGTAAGAAGGGTGAAATTCACCAGATTAAGACCCAATGTCCGCAGTTCACTAGGCAAAGAGTCGTCACATGGAACGTTACAGTTAAAATCACCAGTTAGAAATATATTTGAATACGGCAACGTGATTGTATGAAGAAACTCGGTACATGAACTTGTGTTTACCTTGCAATTAGGTCTGTAAATGTTCCCGGGTCTATTCTGCACGTTACCAAAGATTTTGTAACCGGAAAATTTTATTACCAAAAAATGTTACTAGATCTTGTCATCACGATTCTAGTTACGTTGGTAATGCAGTTAAAATATTCAGCAATTCAGCTATGAAGAATTGTGGAAATTCTGGCATTGCTCACGGGGCAATACTTTGTTACCAGCTTATGAGATGGTAACAAAATTTACCGCTTACAAGAGTACACAGATTTCGAAAATGGTTTAAAATTTAACAGGAACTTAATTTACCGGTTACAAAATTTTTATTACCAGCGCAGAATAGACCTGTAAATAGTTTATCAGTGCCTTGCACGACTTCAATAAGAAGATACTAATTTTCATCGTCGGTCCTTGTATGGCTTATGGATCTGCTCTTAATGTAATTTTTTATATAAATAGCAACTCCGCCTCCATGACTGGGCCGATCACAGCGAAACAATTTGTAACCATTCACGTTAAAAAGATTATCTGTGAAGCATGGTTTAAACCAACAGAAGAGGATTCAAAAATACATCTGAGCTCATAAATTTTCTTCTTCAAACTTTGAGAGTTCTTGTGTGTTTCACCCGTACATACATTCAAACGTATTCGTATGGTATCTATTATTTTTAAATTCCTTTTTAGGGTATAATGCTAGGTAGCGAAAATACAACTGTCAACCGGTTTTGCTAGAACTTTTCCAGAGAAAAGGCTAAACGGCCAAGAAAACAAAGCCTAAAATAGCTAAATTAATAATAGAGCCAATGTTCAACTAGTGATAAAGTGTTAAGGTTTTGTAAAAATCCATTTAGGCTTCTCAGGGCTGACGGAGAAATTGTTGAGATGATTCCACCCATGATACAAAAAACAAGGTAGTTCCATTGTCACTTTTCCTTCTCCATATTAACAACCTGACAATTAAGCAGATTGTGACATTTCGTGCTACCATACCCAAAATCTTAAATACTTCAAATTTTCTTATTAATTTTTTGTCGATTTAAAAATCTTTGTTCTTAAGCATAGCTGTTAAATTGCATATAAAACTTCTTTCTATGAAACAAGTGTGAAATTCGACAACATTTCCTCAGCAAAGTACTATTCTGTTCACGCTGTGAAAAAGCTTGCAACATTTTTGCAAAATGAAGCTAGCAACACAATTTTCATGACATTTTTAAATACAAATGTACATTTTAAATTGTGTGAAAGCTGACAGTTTATAGAATTCAGTAGCGGCGAAAACAAAGGGGGGTTAAGTGGTTAAACCTTACCCAAGCCGATCGTAAAACTTGCGACGCAATTTCAGCTTATGCCTGTCGGTCTTGACAAGAATGTAATCCCTCAAGGATTAGCTTAACATTATTCTAGGGATACACCCTGTGATCATGTTACTTTCCAGAAGGTTTCGCGCTCGTTTTTCTGTACATATTTCCATTGGAAAAATGCCTCATCTAAGTATGCTAGGTAAATGCTTCCAGAGGTATCTATACGTCACCAGAATTTTAGTTTATATGGCTTATACCGCTAGCTCTCGTAGCTGGCCACGAGATCGTTTTCATATACCCCCATTTTTCATAGGTTTGGGATTGATTTCATTTA